TTTGGATAAAAGTGTCTGCTAAATGACTAAATGTAAATATATTTCTTTCAAAACTGAGCAAATTAATTACTTAAATTTTGGCATCTGATTACGTAATCCAGATTACATGTAATGAACCGGTGTCTGGTTCTATAAAAAACTAGTGTAAATGCCTTCCAAGATACCCTACCTAGTTTTTTGGAGCCCTGCCAGCCATACGTGAGCAGTAATAGATGGCATGTGTGTATGCGGGGATTGTGAAACACTAACTGCCATATGGGATGAAGATAGCAGCATGTAGAGTAGGAATAGTACATTGGATTTGTACCTGTTGGGTGGATAAACATTTATGTGACCTTCTATAAACTGGAGTGTGCATACTGTACCAAATAAGATATCAATGTGATCCATCAAGATGCATGAATTGTATCTTGCTGTCATTTAGCTGTCGTGCAAAAGAGATGATGTTAACAAATTACATTTAGATGAAATCTGCTGATTTTTCCTGCTTTTTATTTTCACAAATGTCAGGCGTCCACATGATAACAGATATGCATTATGGGTCAGTGTGTTTGTGTGGGTTTCTGCAGTGATGCTGAATGACTGCAGACTCCACACATCAGTCTCTTACAGAAATGAGTTTCCACAGCTCAAACCTGTTCAGACTCTCACTACAGACACTTCATACATTGTCAGGGCTGTGGGAGAGTTGCCATGCATGAAGGTTGATGGGATGTGTGTGTGTGTGTGTGTGTGTGTGTTGTAGTGATGGAGATGAGCTGAAGAAGTCTCTGTCTGAGCTGGCGGATAAGAACCATCACTCTCACACTAAGAGCATCAGTCGCATCAGCAGCAGCAGTAACCCGTTCCTGGACATTGCCCATGACCCCAACGCTGCTGTCTACAAAACTGGCTTCCTGGCCCGCAAAATGCACGCTGACATGGACGGGAAGAAAAGTAAGATTTAATCTGAAGCTATCATGTCATACAACACCTGCTCATTTTGAGGATAAAATGTGACCCGAACCACAAAACCAGTCATAAGGGTCAATTTTTTGAAATTGAGATTTATACATCACCTAAAAGCTGAATAAATAAGCTTACCATTGATGTATGGTTTGTTAGGATAGGACAATATTTGGCTGAGATACAACTATTTGAAAATCTGGAATCTGAGGGTGCAAAAAAATCTAAATATTGAGAAAATCATCTTTAAAGTTGTCCAAATGAAGTTCTTAGCAATACATATTACTAATAAAAAATTAAGTTTTGATATATTTACGGTAGGAAATTTACAGAATATCTTCATGGAACACGATCTTTACTTAATATCCTAATGATTTTTGGCATAAAAGAAAAATCTATAATTTTGACCCATGCAATGTATTGTTGGCTATTGCTACAAATATACCCCAGCGACTTAACACTGCTTTTGTGCTCCAGGCTCACATATGTATATGATCCAGCAGCCATGCAGCATGATTTTGAAACAGTAGTAAAAAATACTGTTAAAATGTTTAATTTAATTTAATACTTTTTAAGCTACAATCATTTATTTTTTATTTCAAATTGAAAAGAAAAATAATAAAAAGCACTTTTCAACTGAAGATTTTTTTTTTTAGCAGATCAGGTCATTCAAATTACTTTTACTTCTAGTTTTTAGGAAGCATTTTGATTTATTAATTCTTTGTGTAATTAAAATTATTTTTCATAAGCACGTTATTTTTATGACTCTTTATAACTGAAGCATCTGGGTGTGCAGGGAATGATGGGAAAGAACATTAAATAAATGCTGTGTAATGTGAACGAGGATAAAGCAGGTGTGATTCAGTGCTTTGGCAAGCACACATGGTGAAATGGGATTTTGGCCGTAGTCTCTCATATATTATGTCCACTTATTTTTCATTCCTAATGAGATTCTAGAGTCACTAGAAAACCTGAGCTGTCTCATATAAAATGTCCACTTATTTTTCCTTCCTAATGAGATTCTAGAGTCACTAGAAAACCACAAAAGCTGAGCTGTTGTGTCTGTTTGAAGAGACGCACCGTTACAGCTCGTCTTGCAGAAGAATCTCAAACACTGACAGCTGATATGATCAAAAATGATATGATAGAAAAGTGTAAAAGGATGCTTTCACGAACTATAAATAGCTCTGTTTTTGTGTTATATGCACTACCATTCAAAAGTTTTGGGTCAGTAAGATTGGGTCAGTTTTATTCAGCAAGGATGCATTAAATTGCTCAAAAGTGGCAGTAAAGACATTTATAATGTTACAATTAGTGCTGTCAAATATACTGGATACTGTGTATATTTATTATTTATATATATATATATAAATACACACACAGGCATGTATATATTTCAGAAAAATAGGTTGTTTATATATTAAATATATTTATTTATAATATAAATTATATGAATATAAATATAGACATGTAAATATTTTAAATATATATACTGTATTTGTGTATTTATATGTACATAATAAATATACACAGAACACGCACATAAATTATGCAAACAAAAACTTTTATTTTGTTTGCGATTAATCGTGATTAATCGTTTGATAGCACAGTTATCAATATTTATATTTCAAATGGTCTTTTAAACTTTCTATTTTTAAAAAAATCTTGAAAATCACGGTTTCCACAAAAATATGAAGCAGCAAAGCTGTTTTCAACATTGATAATAATCAGAAACGTTTCTTAAGCAGCAAATCAGCATATGATTTCTGAAGGAACGTGTGACACTGAAGACTGGAGTAATGATGCTGAAAATACACAGAAATAAATTACACTATAACATACTGTATATTCGCATAGAAAACAGCTATTTGAAATGATAATATTTCATGATGTTACTGTTTTACTGTAAAATAAATGCAGCCTTGGTGAGCAAAAGAGACTTCTTTCAAAAACATAATAAAAGTACTGACCGCAAACTTCTGAACAGATGTTTGAATATATCTTAACGGGATAAAACTGAAGTGGATACCTTCCTACCCTTCACTGCTTTGTGATTTACGGTCCAGCTCTGGCAGAAGACGTGCCAACGTGAGTTTAGTCTCCAGTACCAGCCGTGCCAGTGCGGTCTAATGAGCGTGCCCATGGGAGAATTACAGTCGGGATATAAACAGCAGGGCTTTAGTGATCTGCTGCATCACATGCTGAGAGCATTTAGGCCAGGGTCCCAGAGGTGCCATCAGCGAACTACCGAGAACTCAGTCTGTATGGGGTGTGAAGGATTCGGATGCTTCCCAAAGCACCTATAGCACAGCCGTAAATAAAGCTGTTCTACAGAGACGCTATCAAGGGAATCATTTGACAGGAGAAATGTAAGTAATGCCCTTCAGAGGTGGAACAGACTGGTGAACTGTTTGGTTGACCCTTTTTAACACAACAGTATGGAACGTACAGGGACAAAGTAACAGTTCACCAAAAAAAGTCATCATTTACTAGTGTTGGGCGATATGCTCAATTTTCATATTTTCAGCCTGTGAGAACGCCGATACATAATATTATCGTGCTAATTTATTTAATTATTTATTTACATGGTTTCATTGCCAGAAAGTAAACCAACTCCAGCGCAAGGCTAAAAGCAGCCTAATGTTTTTAATATAACTGAATTTGTATTTAACATAACAATTTAATAGAAACATTGTAAGTTACTAATCATAATGCTTACATTTCCTCAGTCATTCAAAAAGCAGCTACAGAAAACGAAAAATTTACATTACCGAAGAACATTGACTTCAGTCCAGCGCGAGTATATGCACTTTAAAAAAAATCCCATTACAATCAGTGAAGCTGTCTACACTGTGTGATGAATAAATATGCTATACTTAAATCGCATGTACATCTGCACTTTGCTGTTTATGATGAGAGTAGGGCTGCAACTAATGATTATTTTGATAATCGATTAGTTGGCTGATTATTTTTTCGATTAATCAGATTTTTAAAAAATTTAATTTTTATTGACCTACCCTTCACTGCTTTGTGATTTACGGTCCAGCTCTGGCAGAAGACGTGCCAACGTGAGTTTAGTCTCCAGTACCAGCCGTGCCAGTGCGGTCTAATGAGCGTGCCCATGGGAGAATTACAGTCGGGATATAAACAGCAGGGCTTTAGTGATCTGCTGCATCACATGCTGAGAGCATTTAGGCCAGGGTCCCAGAGGTGCCATCAGCGAACTACCGAGAACTCAGTCTGTATGGGGTGTGAAGGATTCGGATGCTTCCCAAAGCACCTATAGCACAGCCGTAAATAAAGCTGTTCTACAGAGACGCTATCAAGGGAATCATTTGACAGGAGAAATGTAAGTAATGCCCTTCAGAGGTGGAACAGACTGGTGAACTGTTTGGTTGACCCTTTTTAACCAAACAGTATGGAACGTACAGGGACAAAGTAACAGTTCACCAAAAAAAGTCATAATTTACTAGTGTTGGGCGATATGCTCAATTTTCATATTTTCAGCCTGTGAGAACGCCGATACATAATATTATCGTGCTAATTTATTTAATTATTTATTTACATGGTTTCATTGCCAGAAAGTAAACCAACTCCAGCGCAAGGCTAAAAGCAGCCTAATGTTTTTAATATAACTGAATTTGTATTTAACATAACAATTTAATAGAAACATTGTAAGTTACTAATCATAATGCTTACATTTCCTCAGTCATTCAAAAAGCAGCTACAGAAAACTAAAAATTGACATTACCGAAGAACATTGACTTCAGTCCAGCGCGAGTATATGCACTTTAAAAAAAATCCCATTACAATCAGTGAAGCTGTCTACACTGTGTGATGAATAAATATGCTATACTTAAATCGCATGTACATCTGCACTTTGCTGTTTATGATGAGAGTAGGGCTGCAACTAATGATTATTTTGATAATCGATTAGTTGGCTGATTATTTTTTCGATTAATCAGATTTAAAAAAATAAAATTTTTATTGACAAAAAACACTATTCCACATTCTGTCCAATGTCCTTCAAACGAACTGAATGTTAACTGAATGCTATGAAAACATACAGTGCTTAATTTATTAGACCACCTGTCATAAAGAGAAAACACAAATATTTTAGGAATCTGTCAAAAAATTGTTTAAATCTAAAAATGTTAATGTCATTTATTGGGCAAACTGATAAACAGAGGTGTGACATGCATTCTTTTCGGCTCGTTAAAGATTAATCTTGCAGCGGCATTTTGGATTAATTGTAGAGGTTTGATAGAAGGGACTGGAAGACCTGCCAAGAGAGCATTACAGTAGTCCAGCCTGGACAGAACAAGAGCTTGAACAAGGAGGGTTGCTGTCAAGGAGGTTGTTCTGTGTGAGAAACGCAGAGACTTGGTTGAACACAGCCCGTTCAAGTGTTTTTGCAATGAAAGGTAGAAGGGAAACCGGTGTGTAGTTCTCTAAAAGAGATGGGATAAGGGTGGGTTTCTTAAGTAGTGGGGTTATACGAGCCTGTCTAAATGCTAAGGGAAAAACACCACTGTGAAAGGGTTGTGAGTGTATGTTTGCTGGTAAGATGTGTTTGACAGTTTGTGGTGTGGCAAATTGTGCACTGAGGTTTGTAATTTTATTAATGAAGAATGTGGCAAAGTCGTCAGCTGTTAGAGTTGATGAAGGAGGGAGAGGAGGAGGACAAAGGAGCGAGGAAAATGTTTAAAGAGCATGCGAGGGTTAGACGAATTGTTCATTTTGTTATGATAGTATGTCCTTTTAGCAGTGGAGACATTAGCAGAGAAGGAAGAGAGGAGTGACTGATACACACTAAGGTCAGTAGGATTTTTTGATTTGCACCACACCCTTTCAGCAGCTCTGAGCTTAGACCGATGTTCACGGAGAACATCAGATAACCAAGGGGCAGAAGAGGTGGTACGGGCTGGCCTGGAGGACAAGGGGCAGACAGTGTCTAAACAAGATGTAAGAGTGTAGCAGAAATTATCAAT